TCTTACTGATTGTCCTAGATTTTACTTTGATGGGCCTGATTTATGATTTCAAGTCATTTTACAACACGCAGAATTATATTCTGATCAATAAAAACAGACAAATTCTGCACGGCAGAATAATACCGAGAGAATTTTTTTTCACCATAACAAGTAACGAACTTCGAACTCAAAACTTAACTTTTGTTCTAACGCACAAAAATCTTCTTTTAACTATTTTGGCGGCGCACAAATAAGTGAAATTTTACGCTCAGAAACCTTTTTTTTTTTGCATTTTAAAACCAATTCTCATCTTAATGTTTCGTCCCTTCGATTTAAAATTCAAAATGTTGTGACATGACTTCAAATTATATGACACGGCCCCATTTTGATGACAATAAAACTTTTAATACCATCTCCTACAATATTAGATTATTACAGAAAACATTTCGAATTCTTAGTCTATATGGAAAATAAAACTCTTTTAAATGCAATTCACGAAGAGTCACCAAGGGTAAAATGCGATCATTTGGTCGGTTCGCTCAAGCAAGATATTCGCTTCAGTTTGTCATCCTTGTTTATGTGGAGAAAAGATTGAAAGCATGACATTTCATGCGGAATGTGTAGGTGTAACATACGGTGCCAAGAGGCAATTTTTTTAAAAAGAAGGAAAAGAGTACAGTGAATTCCCGATTTCTCGAACCCTTTATTTTTTTTAACCTCCAGATAACTCGAACCAAAAGTCGTTTCTCTCAACTCAGTAGAACACTGCAATTTCACTTCCGATTCTCGAACTACCCGGTGTTTCAAACCAATTTTCGTTTCCCTTGGAGGATCGAAAGACCGGAATTCCTTGACACCTTCTAAAAAAAACATAGGCATGCATCGCGTACACAGCGCGCAGTCGAATTGTTTTTCAACTAGTATTTCTATCCTTGTGATAATTCTCATCTTTTGTTGCATTATATTTGCAAAAACAAGCACAAACCTTTGTTTGTTTGTTTTTGTATTTCCAAAATCTTATCTGATCAGTTTCATCTTTTTGCTGTAATTAAGTATTGTGTTATTATTGTGTCGTGACAAAGACAGCAATGTTTCACCATTGCACACTGCCATCACATTACAAAATACTACAGGTTCGTGCTATAAAACTATTTTACACTTAACTTAAAAGTCTAAACTTTATTTTCAGGGAATTTTTTTCTCCTTTTTACTAAACACAAGAAACATTAAATGTACTTTTGGGGTTCACGTTGAAGGGTCTCGATCCACAGGGCGTTTTAAGGACCTCTGTCTAACTTTGAGTTCTTCCATGACGTGCTTTGAGGAGCCTTTTCGTCGAAGGTGGACTGACTGTTGATACAAAGCGACATATCAGTAAACCATACAGAGAGTATTTTACCTAATCCAGCCCCTGGACCCGGCCATTTTAATCACAAAACGACACAAAATCACGCACAAAGTGGGAGTATTTTTAAAAAGTTTGTAAATTCACCTCCCATAGTAACGAACACTAAAATTGATAACAGAGGGGTTCGAGCGCACGGATGGGGATAACAAACCTTTTGCAACTTCAGGCCCCGTCCACACTATGCCGGAGAAATTTGAAAACGCAGCTTTATTTCTCCGGTTAGGCCTACCGTCCACACTGATCCGTCACGAAAACGGAGCTCAGTTTTCGAAAACGCCCTTTAAACCGGAGGAATTTGAAAACGCCGGCTTTAAGTTTTAGTGTGGACGAAAACAATACGAAAACGGAGCTTTTTGTAAACGATGACATCACGACAATGATGAGATTCCGCTGACCGAGTTTCCTCCACAACAAATCCAAAATGACCAGTGATTGTTGCGTTTTTAAACGAGAAAAATTTTTACGGCGCAGTGTGGACGGGCCTGATACAAAAAATATTCACTCTATTCGCTGTATCCAAGGTCCACCGGTTTTATCGCAAACATTGAATGCAAGAAATAAACGTTTCTAGCTTTTAAAATGCGTGTTATAATAAAATTATTTAACAGACCTGTCTACCGAGGAATAAGGGTAAATCTTCTGTTTGCGTGTCCTATTCAATGACCAAACAAACTTATTAGTACTTCCACTGACGCTTAATTCATAAGTACATAATACCACAGTGTGGTCTGTAGAGAGTCAATGTCGTGGTTTGCAGAACTTCAACGTAGCGCATTTATAATTAACTTCACGAGAACAGGAAAAGATAAACGTTGAATTCAATAAGCCTAAACTGCATTTCACTCAAAAAAAAAAAAAACAGTAGTATGTTAGTAGTATCTTAATGAGAAGTTAAGTTAATTCAACCAAAACCTGAATTTTTTCGAACGGCACAAAACTGCACAACAAAAACTACTAAGCGATTCAAGAGCTTGATGAAAATAAAAAAAAAGTTACAATAGCACTTCTCGAGGGATTTGTATAGGTAATCATACGGTTTCGAGTTCAATTTGGAATTAATTTGCACGAGTGAGTTTTTTAAAAAGCTGAAATTGCACGAGCCGCTTCGGCG